CAGTAAATATTTTGTAGATTATGTTATATTCAAATTGGCCATATCATATATGTAGTTTATTCGATTAATGTTATATTTGATAATGTAAATATCTGTGCATGTTCCAAAAAATATCTTATAGAAGACTTTCAGGCTGTTCTATTTCTATTTAAAAAGTCTTGAAATTTAAGGCATCTTTTTATAAAGTTTTAAAAACGTCTTTTAGACATGTGCGTTGTCTGAAAAAGCATACATATTATTTTCGAATAATTGAACATTTAAAGATGAAAGACCTCCAGCGAACCCGAAGCTTCGAGAGACACAATAGACGACAAAATTATATTTTTGAGTTAATTTTACGTTCTTCTCTCTAGCACGCGGGAAATCTATTCCGGAAAAGATGGAATGTGAAAATAGCTTTTTCACTTGCTTTAGACATCATTTATTTACAATTAGCTTTACGCCTCGTGGAGTTTTAATCGCCCTCGGCCATCACTGCCCCCATCAACGCGTCATCCCTTGTCTGGCCGCGTAGGGGTCGACCTGGGCTGGTATAAATTGCACACTCGCTCGTTTGCTCATTCGTATCGGTAAAATTAGATTTACACGAAAATAGGTGCGGGACCGTAAGTTTGGCAGCTCATTTTATCCCGTCCGCAAATGTAACCCCGTCGTCGGCGCGACGCACGGACGAAGAGAGATGTTTCCCGGACGTTCCCGGACGGTTCGTCGGTGTGATACGGTATGAATACATATAAGGCTGGTACTAAAGTTGGCCCCGGGAACGTTATAATGCGTCATAACGGGACCGGCACGCACACACGGGCTCGCTCATCCTAAACACGAGGAAATGCAGTGCCGCCCGTAACTTCAACTCGCGTCACCCATACATTCGCGTTGCATATAATTTACATAATGAGCATCCATCTGCCTGGAAACGTTCGCTTGAAAGGGGTCGGACGAAAGTTAAACGCGTCTGTGCTGTTCGTCCGACGTAGTTCCCCCCGATGTTGTCCGATCCGTTTCGTTTGTGCATACCGGATACGCCAGGCCGGATATGCGCGATATCGTTCAACGAATTTAATGAAATCTGAGCCGAGCACGTAAAACACCTCCTCTCGAATTTATTTTTAAATCCAGATTGTGAATTATCCACTGTCAACATCAATCATTGTTATTTAATACATGATATCGAATTGCCGTCGAATTATATTACCCAAGGATATTTTTTTAATGGCGATTTTGTTATTGCGCTATTTTTACGAAAATTTAATTTGAAATATTAAATTTTGAATTTTTAAAGCAAAATATTGGTAACATTTTGCACTGAACATTTGATAGGGCATTATTATTTGGTAGGGAGAAATTTACATATCCTTCTAACGCAACGCTAATAACGTCCGCACTATATGGACGTATATCGTATACATTTCGTACGTTTATATTAGAATATGCAGAATTAACGCGAATTAGTCGTCGCATCGGTTATGGCACTTTGCGATCGACAAACAAATTTGAGTTGCGACGAACAACGACGCCGTCATACGCGTTACCTTCGTTTACACTGGCTTTCCAATCTGTCGAGCTGTTCGCAATTTTCCATCGAAGAGTTCGCGTATTCCGTTTAGGTACACCTACGGAACGCGGGACATATAAGCTCGTTTCTACCTAAAAGGACTCGGACTCTCTAGCGCACGATATGAATACGTATAAGGCAATATTAAGCTTCGCATAGGGCTATCCACTGCGATACATATATCTTTTCTGCCTCAACGAAGCGTACAAGTGGATAGGATATATACCATTCACGCAAGGCTGACCATATAAATCCTTTTCCCCTCGCTGCGTATTCTCTGTTTTTTTGCATTTTTTTTAATGCGTAAATATAAGGAGGTTCAATGTTTCGTCTCATCTAAATTATTTTCGAGCCGAATATTCTAAAAATATATATATTTATAGAGGTGAAATATATACAGCAGCGAAAAGATTTTAAACGTCTGAAATATAAAGCTTTTTTAAATTTTTACTGCTTGAATTTTTCAATATCAAACTTCTTTAAATTTCTAAGAAACAAAGTATACTTTTCCTTGATGTTCAGAAATTTGCGAAGAGATACCTTCGCAAATTAATCGATGAATGTTTTAAATGCCATCTTATTTTCGATATCTATCATTATTTACTCAATTGATACTGACTTTATCTCGCTTCTATATTTACGAGAAGAAACAATATTTCGGTATTCGCAAATATGCAAAATACTCAAGCTATTCATATTACTTTGGCCAATATGAAGATCTTTTATTCTTACGTAAAAAAAATTCTTCATTACAATTTTATCTTTAGTGTTATGTAAAATTGAAACTCTGTTAAATTCTATTTATTAAAATTAATCCAAGAATATAATGTTACCATTTCACCTTCTTTACAGCTGGATTCGTCTCTGACACTCTTTATTCTCAATCACTGAAATATCGTAAAAACGTTACAGATGCTCCGACACTTCCGTTCAAGCAGATTCGTTTCCTGAGTGGCGAAAGAGAGTCCGTCGTCAGAAAATAACGCGTTAGAAGTAAAACATGCGATACGTGCGCGCGTTGCACGAATACTTAAGCGCACACGCGCGAAACGATGGGTTCCATGCACATAACGCCGGCGCGTACATTTGGCCGGTGCACAGCCCAGGATTTTAGCATGCGGAGCAGACCGGTCTTTAATGCTGAAATATCGCTAGAACGTCGCAATGTTGCCCCGTCATCGTCGTCGTCGTCTTCCTGCGCGATATTTCGGGACCTGAGTGCGCAAAACCCTTAACCGCGCGCTTTTGTATGCGTATACATAAAGTTACAACTATAATTGTTAAGTAACTATTGGGAAAGTTTTAACGCTTTGATATATTATACAATAACTGTTATTCTCTCTGAGAAGTGTTGGCCGAGTAATTTAGCAAGGAAGCTATTGGCAGTATTAAATGGGATACATAGATATTGGTTACATAGACGGAAGATTAGTAATCCCATCGACATAGTTGAATGCCTTACGTGCCTAATCGATGTCTGCTTAAGCGGGAGTAAACGTCTCGAGTTTGAGTGTTAGCCGAACGGCAAAACAACGAGTCGCCGAGGCGGAAAGCGGGCGGAAAGGAAGTTTCGAGGGCATCTGGAAGCTCCTAGTTAGTACTCGGAAAAACAAGCTGCCTGTCGTCAGGATAAGGGGATTAAGAGGGTTCGGAGCCAGTAGCTGGCAACGAACGCTCAGGCCAATTCCTCGGAACGGGGCTGCTGGTCCATATATATATAGTCGCATTCAGACAGCACGTCGGCTTCGACGAGCCAAGAAAGAGAATCCGCCGCCGCTGTCGTGATTTATCGTCCGTTATTGCCGGTATTTTGCGAATTACGTGCGCCTACGTGGATCGGAAGGGAAAAATGCGAGCGAACGTCGCGGTAGAAATTAATTCATGTATTAATATATGTTTAAAAATAAATTCTTAACATATATATTATTTTGAATAATATAATTTTATGGTGGGACAGTAGAGAGAAATTTTTAAACAGCCTGAGACTTTTCTCAGACTGTTTCTAAGACTTGAGACTGTTCTTTTCTAAGTTCCTTATTTTTGCAAAACGATTTAAGAAGATTTATTATCATCGTTTTATAGAACGAGAGAACTAATTTCTTCAATCTAAATTCTAAACAATCATCATTAATTTCAGAACTTTTTTTTTATTCCATCAGAAGGAACAGAGGTAGGGAAAAGAGCTTTCCAATCCTGCGTTTAAAGAAACTCGAATCAATAACTTTATGCGAATATTCTTTATAACGGAATTCGACAGCGCAACCGTAAATTTTCTGCGTCGATCGAATACATCTTATAACTTGGATCACCAGCACCATCATGCAACAAGGATCGAGGGGCTGTACGGAGAGAGGGGCAGCGGAGCTTTCGGCTAAAGTCGAAGGAAGTCGTAAAGCGCTTAGAGGTAAAAATCCATCTTGCTGCGGGATAAAGTCCGACCGATAACTTTAGACGGAAAAATTTCTGCCGATCGCAGGGATGAAACCCCGAAGTTGTCGGACGATAAGTAGCGGCTGGGCCGAAGTTCGCTCGATTTCCTACAGTTTTCATTAGTGAGCGAATCATATTTCACCCTCTTGCCCCTCGGCTGCGCGTGTATCTCGCCTCCTTCTTCTCTCTCATTAACGGCCCGTCTCGGGCTACTCTACAATTTCCTCGACTAGACAATAAGTAGAGCTACGAAAAGAAAGAGGTACGAGGCTACGAGAATGAGGAGAAGCATCGCTCCCCCTTCCATTGCACTTGCCCCGGCTTTTCATAAAATCCAATTTAAGAACTACTCTGACCCCCCCCCCCCGTCGTTTTTTCTTATTTTTTTTAAGTAGTGAAGAGCCGACGGACATCTTTCTTCAAGATTGCAGTTAATGCATAACAGAAATAATGTGCAAAACGTAGGGAGCTATAAACACGTACAGTGTACTTTTCTCTTTTCTTTCTTTTTTTAGTATAACAACTTATAAAACGCAACTTTTTGAAAACATAAAGAGCACAGAATTTTTAGATTGGGTATTTATTTATTTACTAAAATAATTATAATAATAAACCACTTACAAAACTTTAACTATTTTTGTGTTATGCGCTTATTAATTCAATCTAAAATTATTTCAAAAAATGAAAACGGAAATACTTTCTGTATACAAAAAACGATTATATTACTTCTTTCAGATAATTATAACAATATCGCATTTTAAAATAATTTTTTAAAATAATGTTTTATATTATATTAATTTTATTATTTTCGGCATACATTTTATTTATATATCTTTTTGTTTTATGTCAACTATTTTATATTCCAATCATGTGTAGTAACGACGAGACCTCTCGTGTGAAATGTAATAATCCCGCATCGACAGTTTTCACGTCGTCGGTAACGTATTCCATCGAGAATCTGCCGATAAGATTTTGTGTGTGGGATTTAATAATATACAAAATAACAATAACAAAATACAGCTTTATAAAATTGCATATATTCTGCTAATTCAACTATACAGCTCGTTTTTTTCTAGAAAAATATTATTTCATATAATATATCGATTATAGCATTATTTCTACTGTTATTCCATTATTATTTAACGGACTATTTCTATAATTCATGAATTATACATCAATTTTTAATTACAATGAATATGCAATAAGAATAAAATCATTAAATCCTTCAATACCTACTATTCTCTGAGTCAAACTATTAGCAAATTTATTAAACTAAAACTGCCTTATATTGCTTAGGACATGGTTCCACATCATTCACCGATTTTCGATAATTGTCCCAGACTTTCCGATTATCAAAGCAGACAGTTCCACCGCCTCGTACGTATTGGGTATCCTAAAAGATAATAAAAAATCAAATTATATGAAAAAACATAATTAATTTAAATTAATTAATTCTTCAATTAAATAGAGAGAAGTGCCATCTTCAGTCAGACTGAATCTTGATAGCCTAATATAATTTATATTACCTACTTATATATATATATATATATATAATTGAAATTCATATCGGTCTAGTTTCATTTATTACTGCTTAATTCTTCTTTTTAACCCTCCATTTAATAAATTTTTCTCCCTTATTAATTAATTTTATTAATTTTAGTTTATAACTTCCTTTTTTGCAAAATATTTCAAAAGATGTGCACTTACCGCTCGATTGATATCACCAATGCAGACCCAAGTTCGGTTAGCTTTACCTTCAACAGCCACCGCCCACTTGGAGTGATCGTGGCTACTCTTAAAATCGATATCAACCGGCTTCAAATGAATGGACATGATGTTGTACACTCTATAAAAACAAAAAAAATTTAATCGAATGAGATATGAGTTTAATTAAAATCTACTAAACAATCAAAACGGAAAAAAATGTGATATATTACTTCACTTGTGCGCAGTCCGATGGTAATCTACCTCGTCCGTTCAACCACGTTTCGGCAAATAAATCGGTTTTTAGTGTCGGCGCAACAAACTCGTCATATAAATCTTTAGATTAACATATTAAAGGATACATTAATTATTTACAATATTTTGTAAAAAAATATATATTAATTATATATATATAAGAAAAAAAGATATTTATTCCACTCGTAGAATTAATTCACATCGTAAAATAAATAATTAAAATAAAAAGTAGAAGTTTTTAAAATTTAGCAGATATCCAGATACAATATTTCAAAGATATTGCTCATTAGGGACATTGCTCTTATAATACAATATCAAAAATGTATATCTTGCTAAATATGTAAAAGATATGTAAGATTTATAAAAAAACATGCTCAACGAAAATTACATATATTAAGAATAAGCAAAATATCTCGAGTCTCATTTAAAAAGATATCGCTCTAAATTACTTTACGCAATGTTTCGAAATACAGAAAAATCCCAAGGATATTTACCTTTCTGCCACTTGTCGCTCTTGGCAAATGACACGAATTGGACGCCATCAGATGATTTTAACAATGTTTTGCTGGTGAAGGGTGCTTTTCTGATACGCTTCTGATTAGCCGCGTCCGTCAGCACCGGAAACGCTGCGGCGAACTTGACAGGGATGCTTCTCCTATATACTGTTATTTGATTATACATCAACTGTTGACCGATCGAATCGAATTGATCGCCATCCACGGAGATGCATAGAAAACTTTGTCCGTAATGCATGCCGGATGTCGGATAATCATATTCAGACCGGTTTCCCGGAGTCGAATTTTCGGTCACGTTTTGTCTCTGAGAATACTTTAGAGAATATTTTAGAGAATATTTTATCCATTAAAATCCATTTAAAGATATCTTTAGATGTCATAATAGTAATGAACCATTCGGGTAAAAACTACTATTAACAATTATTGAATTAATGATTGCAACGAAAATGTTAAAGAAAGGAGAGTGACTAACAATTTTAATAAACGTTAGAAAAATCTGAAAAACACAACGTCTTTAAAAAAGACGACATTAATTTTGTTAACGGATGATCGTTATCTGGTTTATTTATCTGACGATTTTGCTGATAATAAAATTATCCAATTATCGAACGTTTATGGAAAAAACTGAGTAATGAAAAGGAATTATCGATATTCATTATACTCAAAACGCTTATATACGTACTCGTCTTGTATCGTTACCGCTGTTGGGTACAGGTGGATAATTCGGAACACTGTGAATTAACCAGAAACCTTGCTTTTTATTCGCCATCACAGCACCTTTCGTATGACCGTTTTTTCCATTGATAGGTCTGTTAGGCGGGTCGTCATTGTACAAGATCCAGAAAGCTTTTGACGCCACTGACTAAACGTAATTACATAAATAAATATTACGTGCACGTGCATTTGAAGAATAATATAATTTGAAAAATTATATTCCAAAAAATTAAAAGTTTTACATTTTTATAATATCCGAGAAGAAAAATTCTCCGAAATATATGAACTGTAACGAATTGAAAATTAAATCAAATAAAATATTATTATCAATTTACAATTTAGATTGATTTAATAGAAAAAGTTAAATTTTGTTATTTATTACGCAGCAAGCAGTGAAACTGACAGTTGGCGCCAGCGTAAATAATTTATGTGCTAAACACGCCTGAATAATTAAACAAATACACGTTCATATTACAGTTTATTCACTCTTACGTCATCGTATAAAGGTGCTAAGGTATTCCCCGGTATAGAATTATTTGCGCTGATTTTTCTCGTGGATAACTGCCAACCTTTATCGACAGTATTGCTGGTTATATATAAATACGCTAATCCACGTCTAACCACAGGATTGCTGCTTTCCGATACCTTCGGCAACTTGTAAAGTACATACCTGAAATCGCATTGCAATAATTACCGATAAGTTATCGCGATAGTGGAAACACGATATAATTACACGCTCAATGCAACATTGATAACATTAATAAGACTGGCGAGAAACATTACAAAATAACGTTCGTTATAAGCTCATTAAAAAATAACGATTGTTCACGTTTGCTGAAATACATATATCGATCGTTCCATATAGGTACTCAATTTTTCTAGTAAAGATATAAAGATTTGTAAATGAGTAGAATTAATTAAAATTTAATTATTAAATTAAATAAATAATTAAATTAAATTAAATTAAATAATTGTAAGTATTATAACTTGTATTATAATTAACATAAATTGCATATATACATATTAAATTCTTTATATTATTTTATTTATTTGTAGATCTAAAACGCCTTTTTCTTATAAATTGTAATTACTTAAGACAATATCGACCTTGTTTTTAAAAACATTCTAAAATCTGTGAAAGTTATCACAATTTGTAACCAGCAGCGAAAACATAAGCATACATAACATGTTCAAAGCACTCACCAATCGACGACTCGATTGTTCTCATCTTTACACTGAGGATTTGCGGCATCACACACAAATAACAAAATGCTTAGGAACAATAGTGAAAACATCATTAAGTTATGTTATCCAAACTTGACGAAAATACGTAGCGATCACGAACACACTAGATCACGATCTGCTGCTCTGAATTAGCAAACATTTATGATATATAATAGCGTTAATCAAAATGCATCTACAAACACATATACTTCTACTGTCCTTGTATCAGTTGTATCGCCATACCCATACTATACGGTTACGTCATAACAACAAACTACAAAGCGAAAGCTGGAATCGCGCCGACAAATAGTTCGGTCTGCATTATTTCCGGCTCATTGAAGCGAACGTCGCACATTTCAGTCGGAATACTTTCTGGAACACATACGAACTTATATGTAAATTTGCAGCTATAATAACATTGCCATTCGCCGTGAAAATCAGGGTTGAAAACCGGAGCAAAAATATGCTCTTTGGAGCGGTTTTGAACCGGTTTGAGTTAAAAACCGCTGCGAAAACCGAATGAATTTATGGAGTAAATTATTTGGAACTTGAGATGTGACCGATTGAAGTTTGTACGTTCCGAGAGAACGCTCTCTCGGAGCGTACAAACATCGTACAAACATCAACGGTTCGATTCGGTTTACAACCCTGGTGAAAATAATGTCCCTTTTGTAATCGTTATCATTATTAGCATTCCACATCTTTTGCACAACGATAAAAAGTTACATAAAACATATATATAATATGTACAGAGTACTTAGGATATAATATAAGCTGCTGTTTCTTGTCAAATTTTGTTCAAATAATTTGTCTGCAATAAAAATCTGGAAGTTGCAAAAAGAATTGCGAATAAGAAATATATCGTTCAGTTAAATTTGATGAAAATTTTCCACTTCTTCACAAAAGAAGCATTTTGATTACTAAATCCGCTTAATTGTTACATAATATCCGTATAGCGCGAAAGATAATAGTCTGTATTTTAATTTCGACTATTTTCAGTAAAATAATATTTTTAGTTCATAAAATAATTATTTATTTTATATTTCCAAATTTCTATTATGTAATAAATATTTCATTAAAGAATTTTGAATATTAAAAATTTTGATAAATTGAAAAAGAGAACGATTTTTTATTAATATTTTATTATCAATGAAAATAGATTCTTCATATATATTTACAACTTAAAATTTTCCAAAATTTATTTTTCTTTATTTATTTTATGATATATCTTTACAGGTTGATTTATAGGTATATCTTAAATCTAATATGTAAAATTTCATTAAATGTCGATTTCTGTTTATAAAAAGTTTATTTGGATTAATGGAAAAATGAGATCTATTTATTCCTTGAGTTTATAATATTAAATTAATTCTTCTGTCATATTTAATTCAACAAAAAATTTTTGGACGCTCGGGGTATATTAAAAATTATGTCGTTTTTCAACTAAAATGCTAAATTAACTTAAGCGTTTTGAAAGGAAATATATATCACAGTACTGAGAATTATTTGAAGAGAACAAAGCGATACCGCCGCCTCCACACGTAGATAACGTCAGAACGATGCCGCGCAGTGCGCACACTGCGCACCGCCTCTGCACACGATCTGCGCCTATCTTCACGCGATGACCTTTGATATAGTGCAGCAGCGCCGCGGCCGCGTGAGAATTTTATTAATAATATATCGAAATGAGAGACGCCTGCGTCTAATAATAAGAAAACATGTTTACCTACAGTCTTTCCCACGATCTGCTTCTTCGACTGATGATATTAATACTGTTGCAGGACAGAGTATCTTCGCCAACGATATATGAATGCGACGAGAACTGACGCGAGGGCCAAGGAACTTCGTCAAGACACCAAGACTGCCCGAGAGTCGCGAAGGCACAAGAAAGAAAAGTGACCGCTGATGACGTCACACGGTCCCTTCCACGCGCACAATGCATCCAGACGATGCATTATATTCCTGCAATAGAACACTAGATCTTTATTGCGAGAAATAGAAATAATGCGCGTGATAATTTTAAGATTATTTCAATCTTTAATACAATAATCTTAAAATTATGTACACAGATCGTATCAAAAGTCAAGCTTCACGTATATATGTGTATTGTGTGTCATATGTGTATATATAGGCTTATTTAATGATTAAAAATAATAGAAATAACGTATGCATTAATTGGCTATTACTATTATATTTGTTCTTCGGAATTAAATCACGAAGAGACGAGTTCTATATAAAGAAATAAAACGTGAGAATTTTTTAAACATCAAGAAGTTGTTGATTTGCATTATGCATTTATTACACGCATTTCATAATGTTTTACTTGCATCTATCTTTGTGCGAATGTACTTGTATTACTTTTATAATATAAACTGCATTCTGGTTTATCAATTAATATTCTAGTTTATTATTTATTCAGGAACAGGTGATATATATATTGATCGTGTTTATTTATGCTCGTTGCATTCTTTGAATTATAAAATATAATTTCAGTATCTAGCATAACTATATATATTTAATAAATATAAATAATAATAAATAAGATAATAAATGTGGAAACACCCGCACTTAAAATTGTTTTTAGTTGTGAACGTCTAGCGCGAACCCGCAAGATCGATCCAAGAAATTCGAGTAATCGATTGTACCTCAATTAAGTGGTAAGAAAACATCCGCCTTACGATAATTTCGCTCAAACTTTAATTAACTTTAATCGGTGATTAACTTATCTTATCAAGTAATATCCTGCATTATTTTGTTGACATGAGATAGAATGATTAATTTTTTGTTATTTAGTATATATGGAAAAAAAGGATTAGATAACGAATTATAGTTGGAAATTTAGCTTTAAACAATTCAGTTGAATGAAATTAATCGATTCGACCTAAAGCAGATGTTTCCTTATCGCTTGAAATCTTTAATAACTCATCATGCATGAACAAAAGTATACAATTATATATTTAAAACGAAATTAATTTGATGTATTTAAATTTCACAGAGAAATACTAAAAATCTCAGAAAAAGATTTAAAAATATGACGTACAATATATGAACATTATTGAAATTTTGCTAAAAATATATTTTTTATTCTGCTTCAAAGTTTTTCGATTTTCGAGCGAAAATTCGCCGTGACGAAGCTGAAAAGATCCGCATCGACCGCATCCGGTCGCATCGAGACATCCGCCGGCACACGCGCGAGGCTCCCGAGCGCCTGCGGCCGGTCCTGTGGGATACCCAGAGCGCACGGACGGGAGCAGCGAATGCAGCGATATCGCCGTCGGTCGGTCGGTGTCTGTCGGTCCGCCGCGGTCCGCGGTCAGTCAATTCGTGCGGCGGTGTATGGCGGACGCGAGTTCGCCGTGCGGAGGCAACGCGGTGCCGAACTGGCCGAACGTCACGAGAGGATCAAGGGTCCGCGGGGATCACGAGAATGTCCGAGCGACGCGTGGCGTGCAGCACGAGGTTTAGGCTACGCGCGCGACGCGAGTGACTCGTCTCTTCTGTGAGTTCTGTGCACCGTCCGCCGCCTTTCCTTTCGTCTTCTCTGCTCGCGTCCGTGTGTACGTGGTCCTTCCCCCTTCTCGCAGGAGAGGAGACGCCGTGATAGCCGATGGCACCGTCCGCGGTACGAGTCCACCGAGTCCACGAGCGTCGCTGGGTCCGTCAGTGACTGGAGCCGCGCGATGACTTCCGTCCCGGTGTCCCGAGAGATGATGCTCGGCTTGAAATTGTCGGTCAGTCCACTCTCGCGATAGAGGAGATTGAGAGGCGATAAGAATCACGCACACGCGATTTAATCTCACAAATTGGTCTCTCCAGCAGCGCGTTTTGTAGGAAGATTCTTTTGCTCGCTAACGTTTCGTCATGACGTAAAATGCCAATTTTTATAATAAAGGTAAAGCCTTGAGTATTGGCACGTGTTTTTCCTCAAGAAGAGTTATACTATCTAATACTACGAATATACATTATCTAGCATAGAATATACTTTATTAACATCTTAATTATTGTAGTATCAAAAAGCAGACATATGTGTGTAAAAGAATATTTCATTTATCTTTTATTATTCTTATACTGTAACATTCAATATAACTCAATATGACGTTTGCATTAGTATTTATCTTGAATGTTATGAAAGAGTATCACAAATTAGGTATCGTGAAAATCTCATGCTATTACTTAAATAATCTAAATTTATTTAAGCTTCTCAGTCTCCTTATTTTTTTTAATTATTTTTTGTCATACAATACATACTAAAAGATTTTTCTGTGTTCTTTTTATAATAATTATACCTACTTATACTTATAATAGTTTTGTATTTAACAGGTAGCAGCTTGACACGAATGGAACCTTGGAGAATCTAATGCATGAAGTATCTGCAAAATTATAAATGTGCCTTCAATGCTCTAACCATTGAAAGAAGAAGAAGTATCAAAATGAATAGGGCAGAGAGCGAGGATGCTGGTAAGGGCTGGCACGAGTGTGCCAGTTGGTTGACCAGATGCGGCGCGTTACGAGCGGATCACAAGGCCAACTGGCCACAGGCAACTGCGTTCGACCTGGCCTATACATTACGGGACGGTGTGTTGCTGTGCAATCTACTGAACATTGTGGATCCTGGGTGCATAGACATGAAGGATGTGAATCAGAAGCCTCAGATGGCACAGTTCCTGTGTCTGCGTAATATAAAAGTGTTCTTATCGGTGTGCTCGAGTGTCTTCGGCCTTTCCGACTCGGAGCTCTTCGAACCGTTTATGCTGTTCGACCTTTCTAACTTCCATCGGGTCCTCTGCACACTCTCCGCTTTGTCCAATTGTCCAAGACTGAGGCGAAAGGGTATACTGTGAGTAACTTTCGAGTTTTGTATTTTTCATCGCGTTAGAATTTGCCATAATTATAAGATAAATAGATTAATAATTATGAAATAATAACGAAATATATTTTATTTGTTGCAGTGGATTCTCTGTTGGTCATGGAAGATCACAAGAGGACATTTATAAGGATTTACAAAGTGCTGGCGCAGGGTAAGAACCTATTGCTAAGATAATAGTTACATTTTGAGTTTATTAAATATTGAAGTCCAAAAGCATTATATCTTGATTCTAAAAGATTAAGGTTTGTCTCTTTTAAAATGAAACTTCCATTTTCTATTGTCACGTTATACAGACACGTGTATATCTTCTTAAATAAATAACTTTTAAATAATATAATTGCATTGTTCTTCAAAAATAACATCAGAGACTTTAGTAATTTTTATATTGGTTTAGCGCCACACATGGATTGGTGGCGTTTACCATAAAAACTAGAGCTGCAGACGTAGATGAGTCTCGGGTTTATCAGGAATTGCTCTGCTTCTCGAGCAATTCTCAACGTAACTGGCCTTCCGTGGAGAAGGTATACGTCATTTTACGACTTAACAATCTTAAAAACATTTTGCTGAAAGAATACCAGCCATCATTGTATCCTTCTTTCGCAAATGCAGTCTATGCCTCTTCAATCTATAAATAGTAAACGATCCAAAGCATGAATCGAAACGTTCTTGTGTACACAAACAAAATGTTATGCTGTGATTTAAAACCTATTGCTCGGTAAAAATTTCATTTTGATTCAAACAGCTTCGTTTTCGTGAATGTAGAAATCTTTCTGATACTTTCTTACGTCAAATTTTTGTCTCGACTTATACCGCAAAATTATTTAAACATAAGTATAAGTTACATTTATTGTACAAAAGACTATTTTTTTTTAATATTGAAAGTTTTTATTGTGCATGGTACATTTTTATACAGATATTGTATATATTTCTGTGTGGAAGAAGCTCTATTTCATAATATTTTATATGCTTTATGAAGCATAAATATTTTCTCGTAATATTTTTCAAAATATGTATAACTGGTCTATATATATACGTGCATATTATGTATTATTAAAAAAAAATTACATGTATACATAAAATTGTATATACATGTATATATATTGTATATATATAATATATATTAAATTTACATGTTGATGCATAAATTATATATACTGTCTACATGATACAATGGTGGTACTGTTTCACTCTTCATGCTAAAGATACATATTGAACGCAGTTATCATAAGTGGCAGACCTTATAATTGTGCTATATTATAATTTTAATTTTTGCCGAGAACTTAGCAATTCCCGTCAGTATGCATGTCATAGTGCATGGCCACGTTTTTTTCGTGTTTTTATGCTAAAGCCGCGAAGATGAGGGTCGCCGCAGAAGGTTTAGGAGACGGGAGGGTGACGAGACGGGCGGCGGGAGGGATAATGAGGATCCAGTCGGCGAGGAAGATGGGTATGGAGCTTTTTGCAGCCACGCGCAAAGCGAGGAGATCTACCAGGACCTCTGTAGTCTGCATTTACCACCTCCTCCGTCAGTTGCGCAGGTTATCATTTTTTTTTTTGCCCTTATTTCTATTCAGTTAACAACTTTTTATACTATTGTGTAAGACGTTGCTAAACCTTCCCTTTTTTCTTCGGCCATTATTTGAAAAACTTGAAGAAGAAGCAGCTAGTCAGAGAGACCGTCTGCTAAAATGCAGAAAGACTGCATGAATGTACTAAATGTTTAATCTCATTATTGAGAATACAGGAAAGTCGAGTGAATTCTTGTTTATTATTAGCGCATTTACGTACGATTAATTTTGTTATTCACCATGCGCTACGCTTTACACCTTGCATACTACTTTGTAATTCGCACAAAAAACGCTTCTCTTTATCGAGATAATCTTCGTGCAACAGAGTAGTGCCATTTCTGGAGGTGAGAAGAGAGATTACGTTATCCAGGAGCTCGTGGAGACCGAGCGAAACTACACAGAAGTTCTCAGTAGCCTACTTAGACACTTCGCCCGACCGCTATCGTCGTTACTCCGGCCCGAAGATTCCGCCCGCATCTTCTTCGGTATCAAGGAGCTCGCGGAAATCCACGTAGGCTTTCACAGTCAACTACGCAAGGCGCGAAACGGCGCCGCGCTCGCCCAAGTCTTCCTGGACTGGCGGGAGAAGTTCCTCATTTACGGCGATTACTGCGCAAATCTCACCGTAGCACAAAATACTCTGCAGGAAGTCTGCGCGCGTAACGAAGTAATCAATCAAGAAGTTATCGTAAGTTTTACAGTGCAAATTGTAAAACTAAATTACCAAAAAAAAAATAAAAGTTTTATATTTTACATTCAGACTTTTTAGATTTAAAATTAAAGAAATCAATATTTCGCCAAATTTATTTAATATTCCGATGTATAATATCAGAAATATAATCTCTAGAAATACCTGTAAAATCGTATAAAATCACTAATTCATTAAACAGAGTAATATATTTGAGCTGTTTTAACATTGATACTTATTACAGAGGTGCCAACAAGAAGCTAACAATGGTAAATTTAAGCTGCGCGATATACTGTCTGTGCCGATGCAAAGGGTGCTCAAGTATCACTTGCTATTGGATAAGTTGGTGGAGGAAACGCCTCGCGAGTGGGTAGAGGACTGTCATGCGTTGGCCAAGGCGAGGGAAGTGATGGTCGATGTCGCTCAGTATATAAACGAAGTGAAACGCGATTCCGATACGCTTGATATCATCAAGGACATCCAAGCATCGATAATCGACTGGGATGTGCCTGAGGATGCGCAACTGAAGGATTTCGGCCGATTACTTCGTGACGGCGAGCTCAAGGTTTGCTTAATATCTTCTTAAACAAAAATAGATATTTTCAGTTAGTTTCCAAAATAAAACGTTGCAATGGACTCTAAAGTTAGCTTAGTACGATTGAACCGTATGACTACTTTAGTTTTTCTATAGGTAAAAGCTCATGGCGACCAGCGAATAAAGGCCCGTTATGCATTCGTGTTCGAACAAGTGGTACTGATTTGCAAAGCTGGCAGAGGAGATCAATATTGTTACCGAGAAACTCTACGATTAGACGACTATAGACTGGAGGACCACATAGGACGGCGAACTTTGGGCAGAGATTCACGTTGGTCCTACCAGTGGTTACTTGTACATAAGCAGGCGTACACGGCATACACTTTATATGCGAGAACGGAGGAGCAGAAGCAGATCTGGATAAAGGCGTTGCAGGATGCAATGGATAATGTTAATCCTGCAGCCTGTCGGAATACCAATCATAAATTCAAGTTGACAACGTTCGACACACCTAAGAGCTGTCAACGATGTGGAAAATTTCTTAAAGGCCGCATATTCCAGGTAAATGATTTAGCTCGCAAAATGTTTAATTATTTGCATTATCAGTCGCTTATAGCTATACGAAAAATAGATAATCTAATCTTTAGTGGACACAATTTATACCAAAAGTGCCAATTTTGTAATTTTTGTATAATTTTTTTCAAAAGTGCCAATTGTATAAAAATTGGATTACGTAAATCTTGAAGAATAAAACTAATAAAATTCATATAATAAGATCCTAATAAAACTCGAATAAAAATTCACCGAGAACTTGTTGAATCGTGTAATTTTCAAGATTCAAAAGAAAGTATAAGAAAGAATTAAAGTAATTTAAATATATAAAAAATGAGAAATGTAAAAATCGATGATTTGAGAAATTAGCATTTCCAAAATTTGCAATTCTATTTTTTGATCTTTCTCAGAGCATCAAAAAAGTCAAATCACAAACTATTTAATCGAGTATCGTATCATCACATAGGGCTATAAATGCGAGGTATGTCGCCTTGCCGTGCACAAGCAGTGCATCGCGCACTCGGGTCGCTGTATGCCCACGCCGCCGTCGCCGACACCGCCACCGCCGCTACCGTGCGAACGTGCACTCACCATGAAGCTGTGGTTCGTTGGGGAGATGGGCAGAGATGCAGCTTCCAATAAACTGGAATCTCGTGAAGATGGCACCTACATGCTGCGCGTCCGTCCGGCGGGACAGCCGCGTCTTAAACATGAAACCAATTACGCTCTTAGTATCAAGTAAGCTTGAACGCGCGACAAAAAATCCCTTTATTTTAGAATAATTCTATTTAATTTTATCTTTTCCATTTCCATATTATTTTGAAGAAAACATTTATATCATTTATATATTCTATTATTTCGATAAATTTGTAATATTTAAAGTTAAACATTCTTCTATTTATTCTATTTATCTATTGGAATTTCTTAAAAAGTCTTTCATTAGATACTGATAAGAGTGATAAGACCATATTATATCTTTTAGAGCGGAAGGAGCAGTCAAGCATATTCGAGTGTTCAAACGCGATGTGGACGGCGCGGATCTGTACTATCTTAGCGAGTCTCGGTTTTTCAAGAGTGTCGTTGAGTTGGTTGAGTACTACGAACGAGCGTCGCTTTCGGAGAACTTCGAGAAACTAGACCAGCGTTTATTATGGCCGTACCGGCGTGTTCTGGCCAAGGCGCTATTCGACTTCCGCGGCTGCGAACGCAATCAACTGAGCCTACGACGTGGTTGTCGAGTCGTGGTGCTAAGCAAGGAAGGTGATGCCAAAGGATGGTGGAAGGGTAAAATAGGCGATCAAGTAGGATTCTTTCCAAAAGAATATGTAGAGGAGGAATAGGATTATTAAAAACACGGACCGTTATTATATCGTTGCATATAATATATCGGATTCCCAAGTTTTCGGCTAGACGTTTTTTGATCATTGATTACTATATATTGTGACAAAACGATGAGATTCTTTTATGAAATGCATACTTGTAAATATAAAGTTTTTAATGAATTGGTGAAAATTTGAGATATTTTTATAGGAGATACGTATAATATTATTTGAGATCCCTACATACACAGATATGACATTTGTTACATAAATTTTACACTTAGGAGACATTTTTATCTTCTGTGTGATAACGTAAGATTAACCTCACGGCATGAAGAATGTTATGTATAACTGAAGGTGAAATGTAAAAAATAAGATTTTACAATACATAAAGTCGGGTATGATTTAAACCATACTGTTACAAAACTTCTAATTTTTTTTAATTATAGAACCGACATCTTATACGCAACGACTTAATATTTGTTGACCTCTCGATGGCAGATAAACGCTATGGTAATCATCTTACGGTGCAATTATAATAACTCTATCGACGCATACCTCAGTAGGGAAGAATAAGGACGAGTTTATTCATGAGGCATTTTTGCGTTGTATAAAAAAAAGTAGGTAAATGTATGCACAGTTTGCACGTCGCATGCGTAATTTTGACGCTACTGTTCTTTTGTGTTTAACGAGATAAAAACGCGTCACATCGATATGTGCATGGCGCTACACTTAGGCCGGTATTCATAGTCGGTCCTTATCTTTCAAGACCGTCTTAAGTGATGTCTTAAGATGCTAATACGGCTCTCTGTGATTGATTCATAACACCTTAAGATTATACTTAAGATATCTTAATATAAGATCGGTCTGAAATATAAGATCCGATTATGAATACCAGCCTTTAGACAACTTAGAAAAATATTTTTAGCCACGTGTATAGAATTATAAAGATAATTGCGTATATATATTTTTTACTGCGACGCGGCATTCCTGATAATCGTTAGGCGATGATATCATAAAGACTAAAGTTGTCTGAAAGTGCGAATTTAGAAAAATATGTGCACATACAAAATAAAAGAACGGGAGCTTATTTTCTTTGAGAATAAAATTTTTCTTAAAGAAAATTAAAAGAAGAGAAAAATCATACCAAAGAATTGCAACTAATATTTTTTATAGATGTGTCTCCACTTCAACTTTAACAAAATGTGAATTTTTCGCCTAAAAAATCTGCTTCCGATTCCCTTTTTTCTATGAGCATACTATATGTGTGGTGGTCTATATCTCTCTTGTCAACAACTTTCTTCTTTATGATTAAATTTCAGAGTCAATTGCCAGAAGTTAATTGTACATAATCCTACTCGTACAATTAATAAGAGATATTTCTAGTTATATTTAAATTGCGAACAAATAAGTACACAAATTGTATACAGGGTGTTTGGTAATTGGAGAACAAAGAGAGCAATTTCTCATTAAGATCAAGTCAAGAATAAGATCATTAAGTCTAAGATCATTATATTTGTATAAATTATACTCGTGTTTCACGTGTTAATTATATCTCAAGAAATTATTCATTTTGCAAGCGTTCAATTTTATGATTCTTGAAAATATCTAATCATTTCTATTAATTATCGGTGTCTATTGACTTTTATAATATCATGTATTTAGATAAAATATAATTGTATATAAATTTCTATGATCTGATTGTTGCTTGGAGTTACAAGTCCACGAGAGAAAAGCTGCCTAAAAATTTTAATTTATTATAAGCTCAATTAGTGCCAATCAAAAACTCTGTCTAGATGGGAAAAATAGTAATATTTAGGTACTAGTTTAAAAGTCTAGGAGAGAAATACACCAAATCTTATTAACGGCTTGTAAAATTTGCTTCATATATTCGTTATTCCAAGCAACAAAATTAATTAATTATAGAAAATTTATTCGAGAAATTGAGAAATTATTTCTCTTTCTTATAGTTATATTACTTATAGTTATATTACTGGTTATCAAACAACTATATATAGATGCAAATATATATATATATATAATAAATAGATATATATATTTTATTGTAAGTATAAAAAATTAATTTTACTATTTTTTTAATTGTTAGACATATTTTTCTGAGTGTGCCAATAAGAAATTCTATCAAATAAAGGGTCTTATCGAGATGTTATACAAATGCTTATACGATAGTGTCTCAATATTTTTACTTTTATTAACAATTCAAGTGTTTCAAATTATCTCAATCACTTAATAGTTTTGGTCTCCGATCGTTTACGATACACAATCGCGGCAACTTTCTGTTCTATCCTCTTACAGCCGGCCATCGAGTACAGATTATGCGGCTCGGGGCCAAAGGTCAGGTGCGATAGCGCCTCCTCTATCTCATCATCCTTTGGATTGACCCCTCGCTCGGTGAAGGCTCTTGCCAAGCATTTTCTAACGTGCACCTCCTCAAGAGGTAGAAAAGGCACATAATGATCGATCACACTGGTCTGTATAGTGTCGCTGTGATAGAAACCACCCTTCTCACTGAACGCTCCGTCGGCTATCAATTTCTCGAAATCCTGCAATTGCGTGTCCTCCCGATTGTTGCCCCTTTCCCACATGTTCGTGAGATGCTGCACTATCTGTGTGCTGCCGGTATTCGAGAGAAATATAAAAATAGCTTTGTTCTGATACATGGATTCTCCTGTCTTGGTGGATTTGTGATAGCTGTTGTAGTCGAGAAAGGGAACCAGCATGTTCAGCAGGCCCTCCGGCATTTTGTCCACCTCGTCGAATACATACATCGACCTCTCGCACTCTTGCAGGCCGTTGGAGATAATTTTATACAAAACTTCCTAGAAAAAGAAGTTGTCTATTACATTTTTATTTTCTTTTAGTATATTACAATAAATTATATATATTTGAACGTACCTTGTACTCATCTACTTTTCGTTCTAGAGGAAAATCATTGCGGCCGTTGAAAAAGTGGAAATACTTGCTCTCCATACCGTTTTTATAAAAAGCTCTCGCAATCATCTGCACCACGAAGTTCTTGCCAGTTCCTGGTGTACCATGAAAACTCATTACCAATGCCTTGGGCGAATTGTGAGTTTCCCAGTGGCCCCGCAGTGCATTTATGATTGTTTCACGAGCAATTTGTTGTCCGTATAACTTAGCGGTAAGCATGTATTCTAATCCTATAATTCCAATAATTCTTTAATTATACATAGTCCTTTTATTTTTATCTTAATATCGTATAGGGAATACATAAAAATATTACAAACAATACTATTAAATTCCTTGCAGAATTTCAAAATTAATTTCTTATTTTTTATTAAATAAAGAAATTTATTTAGTAAAAAATATACTATTCTTATTATTGAAAAATACAAAGATACTAATCACTCAAAGCTAGATCTCTATAAAAAAAAAAAAAAACAATTGTATCCTTAGTTAATTAGCAAATAGAAAAGTCCCTTCTTAATATATAAGTACAATATACCACAAATATAGATAATTAAATATAAAATCTAATGACCATCGACAATCGTACGACAGGATATTAAAGAAAATAAATGACAGGAAATCAAAGAAATCAAATTAGTTATAATAAATCCACCAGACACACGAGTCTTTCATTGGATTGAAAAGGCGTCTTCGATTCGATTCAATAGAGATACGAGAATCTAAGCTTCCTTTTCTTCAGCAGAAAAATTATTCGCACTCACTGTCTAAGTCAGGATGGATGTACTCGTCCGTGCAGCATTCCTGATACCGGCACTTGTACTTGTCGTACGCGAAATAACCTAAACCACTTAAACCGCTTAACGCACCGACTACACCGAGCGTTATGAGTTCGCACAGTGCGAACGCGAGGACCGTAGAAATAAGTAGCAAAAGCACCAGAACGCGATCGGCGAGATTCATGTTTGGCTGGGGTACTTTCTTGCTTTCTTCTCCACCTTTGTTTTTCTTCACAAGTAAACATCGCTCACAATGCTCACATCAGGTTCACATGACGGATCCTCGACGGTATACCGCGCCGTGTTGCGTCACGAGCCAGCATCGCTCTTCGCTCCATCGCGCTTATTAATTGGATCTGTCACCTGAAAAAACGTGCGTAAGCAATGCGTGAGCGTGACCGCATCCAGGTGAGTTGACTGAGTTGTCGAAGATGTTGTGGCGCGAATCGAAACGCGAGGTACAATTCGATCATTCGACGCGTCGCGAGGACGCGAGTATCGAATTAAGCGTAGCGGCGGAGGGCGAAGGTCATGGGAGGTCTGACAATGAGACACTCAAACTCTCAAACGAGAACCGGTTTATACCGTGTTCGATTACACTTGGATTGTATCCCATGAAGCGACCGCGTACCACCTCGGGAGTCCCTGGGACTTTAATTCTTGCCGTCAGACACGAAATCGTTTTGTATAATATAAATTGAGGGAAAGAGAACAAGAATATTTCGCATTTTTTAATTAAATTAACGACTAAACTAATCCCTAGTGTATATAAGCAAGAGTAATCGCGAAAATTTGAGAGAAACCACCCTGTGTCAGAAAACGCAGATTTGCATGTTTATCATTTTCTCGCGATTCTTATAAAATCCAACTTTCCACCCAAAATAACGAAAGAAAGTAAAATAAATTCGCATATCCTGTGAAAATCATCAGAGTATTCTCGACTAGCTCGATAGTAATCGCAATATATAGAAATATGATTATTTAGTTGATCAGTTGACCTGTGAGCTTTTAAACAATAAAATGCGGTTTTGCTTAGCTTACAATTGCAATACACACAATATGCACATAATATTTATTTCCTTTTATCACAGATATAAAATCAAAATCCTTAAAACTCCTTAATTTTTCCTGGCGTTCTAAAAATTGTGCCTAAACTATAAAATAACACTGAAAATAAAATTGCAAACAAAATATAAATTTTCCGATATTTCTAACGAAATATGAGTCTGCTTATCCCCTCGATCCGATGATAGATTACATTATTTAAATATTTTAAATAGATGACATAAAGACATAATGTTCAACATATAATTTACATTAATTGTATCAATAGATTTATAGATAGGCCTTAACTTTAATCTCTGTTTAACTTAAGGCCATTGCACACAACAAAGTTTTAGTTAAAATCGTAAGGCCGTAAGTAAATAGACCAATCACAGTCGATTATTCTCTTTGAGCTCGAAGAATAATCGAGTGTGATTGGTCTATTTTCTTATGGCTTTACGATTATGACTTACAAGCAATGGCCCCTTTAATTATATTATCTTTTTCTGGATTAATTCTTATAACTAGAACAAAAAATAAAAAATCAATTAAACTGAAATTAAAGTTAAAATCTGTATTGGTAGAAATAGATATAAGGTCCATTTCTATCAATGTCGATTAATTAACTTTAGAAATTAAAGTTAATTAATTGGCAATATTGGCATTGGTAGAAATGGACATTACAGTTGAACTTTGTTACATGTTTCATCTTTCCTCTTAGAAATTAGAAAAAGATAAAAAGTAAATTAAACCGAGATTAAAAGTTTAATCCGTATTGGTAAAAACGGACATAAAGTGCCACTATTTCCAACGTCTGTTAAATAATCAATAGAGGTTGGCTATTTTGATAGTTAACGCCGTTAACGGTCGGTTAGAAGTTAACAGACGTTGGAAATTGCCGGCGCCCTTTTAAAAGAACAGCTGGCATAAAGGTGTAGAAAGTGCGGATTACGCGTACTCTCATGTAAACCAGTCGTTCGACGGCGATCGACGATCGTGTCGCCCGGGGCCCGGCCCGGAGTCCGGAGCAGCACGGCGTCAAGCGACCGATGATAACACGAAATCGCTGGCACCGATTGAAAACGCTTATCCTAACCGCGAGCGTCACTCCCTAGAGCATTAGTCGTTGGTTGACGGTCTAACGCGCGCGTCGGTGACGATTGTGACGAAAGCGTGAGAAAAAACGCTGAGTCAATCTACGTGGATTGTTTGCTGGGGAACAGTGATCTTTAGTCCCGACGAAGAGACCCGCTAACCCCGCTAACCGACGAGATGGCAACTAAGGACGTTAAGGATGACACCGCGGCCGCTGCTACTTCAACCGGCAAGCTCTTCACCCGGGCGGAAGTAGCGAAGCACACCGACACCTCCCAGGATACGTGGATCATCATTCACAATAACGTCTACAATGTCACTCCGTTCCTCAATGAGGTTACAGTTTTTTCCTCTCCCGCAAATATTAAAAAGAAAAGACAGAAACTTTAGACACCGACTTGCGTATCTTTGAATCAAATTCAATGAGAATCTAAATCTTCTTAGTCTTTCTTATTCAAAATACATGCATATTTCGTGTTGGAACTAATCTAATGCGTTAATTTTCTGTAATAGCATCCCGGTGGCGAGGAGGTACTCCTGGAGCAAAATGGACGCGACGCTACGGAACCTTTCGAGGATATCGGACATTCGACTGATGCGAGACAAATGATGGAATCGTACAAAATCGGAGAGCTGGTAGAAGTAAGAATTAATTTTTAATTTCAAGTCACGTTTTATATTACTCTTGCATTTTTTTCTTCTTATTGTCAATTATTTGTATTTCAGGAAGACAGGACGAAAGATGGTGGAAAGAAGGGTAAACCCTGGTCTAGTGGAAATGAAAGTCCTAGGTATGATCTCATTTCCATTTTCCTATCCTGCTATTTTAAGAACATGACTCTAACTTTCTTCTAACAATTCTCTAACACGTTTCAGTATTTCAGAATAATCATACTTTTTTTACTGTTCCAGAAGATTATTTTCTTTGACAAAACAATTCCAGTTTCAACTTATTCCTAAATTTTCCATTTTTACAGCCATTCCTAAATTTTCCAGTTCCACAGCCAATTCTAAATTTTCCATTAGCATAAGTAACTCCTCTCTTTTCTTAACTTTCTTTAATTTTGATTATTCCACAAAGACGGTATGAATATAGAACTTGCTTTCAATAAAGGTGATGTCATAATACTTTATCTAACGTTATCTGATTTGGATATTTTTGCACTTGTGCCGTGCAGATGTGTAATGATTTTATTAAAGCTGAGTATTTTGTATACTTGTCTTTTATCACAGTAAAATCACAATTTTTCATTAGCTTGTTTATTATAGGCCAATTTCTTTTAGTGACACAAGTCGACACAAGTGTCGTTCTGTCTTTGTTATTCATTGAATGCCAAGAAGGATAGAACGATGTTTGTGTCGACTTGTGTCACTAAAAGGAATTGGCCCTACGTAACTCCAAGAACACGATATTTTCTTTTGTTAGTTAAATTTTCCATGCTTTGAAAGTAGTTTTAGCAATGCTAATGCTTTCTTTTCCAATGCTAATATTCAGCATTATGTTAGGAAGTCTAGTTTTACATTTGAAATACCTACTTTTTATTTGTGACTGAAAATAGATCTTTTTTAAGCGTGATTCGGAGAACTAGGACTTTTTGATACAAATAATTTAATAATAATAATAATAATTTAATTTTTAGTATACTAGCTTCTCCTTGTTTCAATGTTTTTTTAAAGTCTCGCTAAACTTGTAGACAAAATACATCAGTTTGATTTTAATTCATTTAACACCTGCATGAATAAAATCAAATGTGAACGTGTTCATGCTGTCTAAATTCATATTTATTGGAAACTGACAAAGTTTCCCTTTTTAAGAATCGTTATATGTAAATAGTCGATGCTGCATCGTGATGTGATGATTGGCAATTGCAGTTCTTGGTGGTCCTGGTTGATTCCAATCGCCATCGGGGTGTGCGCGACCATCTTCTATCGCTACTTTATCAGCCTACATTAAAGCATTCCGAGCCCTTTTTCATATGTTATTTGTTAATAACTATATATGTAGATAGATATATATATATGTATACATATGTATTGATTGATAAATTGTTATACATTTTTTCCGAATGTATGTCGCGCACTGTTGTTTTCTATGAACCAAATAACGCATTTTCTGGCCTATAGGCTCTAAAACCGAGACAGAAAGAGAGATAAGGAGAAAAGTCGACGATGTATTATATAATGATATACAAATAACGCGCATTTATATATTTATATGTATACGTTTGTACACACGGTATATATATGCATATGTACATGTAGCGTTCGTACGCGACGTCGTTTTCCGAATTGACGACTTTAATTAAATAAACTACTTTAATTCCTTAGAAAGAAGAACCCCCGTGGAACAAAGAAGTAAAATCCCGTCCTTAAATCCTTAAACGAAAAAAAAAACAGGCGGCTGCGAGCAGACGAAAACTAATCAAAGTAATTCATCAATCAAACCGTACGAAACGTGATTGCGATTGCTTACGTTATTTACACTTCTTGCAGCAAATTGATCCAGCAGACTGTGTCAACCGCATTGCTGATGAGAAGAAAAAAGTAGCTGCATCGAAAATAATATTTTATATAACGAGTACAATGAATTTATAATTGCATTTACTTGTTTTTTTTTCCGACAAATTATTTACCGATAAGCGCGAGATACATCTCGAAAAACTTAAATAATAACGCGTACGATTTACAAAGTTTGAATTAATAAAAATAATATGTGCAAACAAGATTACGACGCTGTACAAAATTTGGAGATGCTTGATACTTTGAATCGAACCTAAATTTACTAAATCTCAACCTAGATCGATTCTGTATTTGCGAAAATTATCAATCATTCTTAAATAGATCATGCGGGCCAAAAAAAGAGAATATATTATCATTAAATCATTCTTTTTTAATAAGACTATATATCCTATTATAAATTATAAGTTTTACATAAATTTTACATAATTTGTATAAAATTTATAAGGATACGTATACATATCCTTTATTTATGATACATATTTATATTAAATATTCATATTGTATATATTTTATATATTCATAAATAAAAATTCTGTTGCAAAAATTCAGGCGCATAAGCGTTCATCTAAACCGCACGAGACTAATTCGACGGAGCTGGCGTTGAAATTAAACGCCGGCGTCGAGACGTCCTGGAGCACGCAGGAGCCGCGTGATGAGCGCGGGATAAACCAATGGATGCTTCGCACCATTCCGGAGTAAGGATTCACGGCGGCGTCGCTCCGTTGTCGGTATCGAGCGAATATTCTCCGACGCGCGCGTCTCATCGCGCCGCGCTGCGCCGCGGCGCACCGCGCCTGCTCTCCTCGCTTCGCCCTCGCGTCTCTCCACAGTCCACCGTCCACCCTCTCGCGTCTCTCCACTCCCTCGTCAGCGACGGCTTTGGCTAGACCTCGCCTCCGACTCCGACTCCGACGAACGCCCAGTAAAGCGCGAAAGCTCGCTAAGTGAGCATCGTGGAGCGTTACTCTGTCACAGAGGCGTCAGCAATAATCTATTAAAGAGAAAAGAGATACCGGGCGAGGAGGCACATCGCGAACAAGTAGATCCGGCGGACCGAATATAGCGGTGTCGTCGCGAGGGCGAGAGCGAGAAACGAGAGAGGAGAGCTAACGAGAGAGAACCGGAGGACAGAAAGCGGAGAAGGGAGCGTAAGCACGCTGAAAAGGGCAGCAGGAGAGAGGAGATAGAGCAGCGGCCGGTCCCGGAAGTGGAAGGGCAGAGGTCGGCGGGGCGGCAGTGAAGAAGGGGGTGCGAGTGGACGAGGACGACGAGTGGAAGGACGCGCGAGGATAGCAGCTGCGTAAGGCGCGAACGGCGGTGGTTGCATTGAAACGTAGCGGCGTGGTGTCATGAGAGGCGGTCTCACGGTCCGCCCTTCTTATCGGTCCCTCCAAGAGTCATGCATGTCGCGCCCCTCAAACGAGGTAAGCGCGTAATCGCAACCCGGCGTATATGAGCAACTTTCCTACGTCGGAAGATCGCGCCGCTAACTGACAGGGATGCCGGTCGCATCGAATCGTTGCTATAATCGGTCGGTTTAACCGGCTCCGCACAATTTTGTCTTCTAATGTGAAAGAGAGTTGATCCAAATCATATCCGGTTGATTAACGAGCCAATCTCTATCTTAAGGATTCTTAAAACTGAATGTTATTATTTAATTTAATTAATTAATTAAATTTTTTCTTTATATTTCACCCGTGAATGATTGCGATGCGATCGGACCTCCCTCGGTATATACAAAAAGTAGGTATAGAGTGAATTCTAGCTTCAGAACGTTCTTGTTGACCTTGTACTTATTTATTTAGGGTTCTTATATTGCTTTCATTCTAACTGATAACTTAAGGACTTCGGTACAAAGATGATCTCATGCGAAAGTAAAGTTAAATTAATCAGTAACTCTTGCAAATTTCTGGAGAAGTAGAGATTAGATCATTCCGCCACAAAGCCTCGCGATTAATGGTCCCCGCATCTCGCCGGTATGCACGCGATACGCCTACGTTTGTTTGTTTGTAATGGAAACAACTGGTGCGCTTAATTGTTTCAGGGGGAAAAAAAAACTGCTAGAAGTTTAAAAGTAATGAAATTTTAATTGAATAATCTTTGTCCGCGCGTTGCGTACGATTCGTTATAATATTATTTCTGAGAGAAAAGCAAACAATTTCGAATTAATTACAAAATAATCGGTATTGATGAGAAAACGACTCTAGGTATTAATTAGAACTTTATGAAAACCACCTACATAAAGTGTTGCTAAATTACCATTTATTATTTGCGAATATCTGTTATTTTTTTTGTTAGAACTTTGGGATTTGTCTCTCGATTTTGAAAAAAGACAGATTAACAAAATTGTTAATCAAATAGCGTGCACATTATTTTCGTACATTATTGTTGAAAATATAATATCTCTCTCTTAATACAAATTTATTATTATTAATTTATATAAATAAATTTATTAGTCATTACAAATTCTCGATCGGCGCGGTTTACCGTTTCAGCAGAAGGGAAAAAAGGCGCGATTAATTCATGTCCATATATAGCTTTTTTTCTCAGCGGGAAAAGTCTTCCACTAGGACAGTTTGTTTTAAAAAAGTTTTATATAAAGAATTGAAGCGTTTCGCGTCGGCAAAATATAATAAAACCAACAAAACAAATAGAACAGCAAGCGTTGTAAAAGCCGATAATAATCGCGCGGCTGAGTTTTCTTCCTTCAGTTAAAAATAGCGCTGGAAAACGAAAATACCCTTACAAGAATATGTTATTAGGTCTAGAATATCTTGGGAATTATCTCGATGAAAACAATATCATCTCGGACTGTCTGTATATGTATGGGTATACATATGTGCGCATGTATGTGTTTTATGCGACATAAGCACCGACGTCATTCTGCGAATATAATCTAGCCTTATTAGCACAATGAAAGGGAGGCAGGGAAAGAGGAAAGAGTGCGCTTGCACTCTTGGGGATTTACAGGAAAGGAAGAAAAAAAATTCAATTAAAAAATAGCTCAACCATTCAAGAGTATCTATATTCTCTCGCTAGCTCATCTCGAGTGTAGAGTAAACAATTCCTCTTAACGCCTCCTGTGACGTCGATATCGAGTATCGATGACGTTCTACGGCTGCAGGTAACATTTAAGAGGTATTAGACGTGCTCTTATTAATTATGAAACATGAGGAGTAGTTGAAGGCCGGCGAGAAACACGTGGACATTACACGAAGACATTCCTTTTCAGGGCGTGATCGATGAAAAACGATAGCATCGCGTAAACGGTGTGCCACCCCTGCAAAAATAAGAAAATATCTATATGATTTTAGTACAGCTGTCCTGTGAAAGATAAAAGTATTTTAGTTCTTTATCGTAGAGGTGTTTATGGTTTAATGTTTTCTTTGCATTAAAAGTCTATTAAAGGCTCTGACAGAGATTGCGAATTCATGACGATAGCAAGACGGATTTAGAGAGAACGTAAGTCTCTCCTTTTATGCCTTTAGTCACTTGGTGGGGTAATAAATAATTCCCGGGCACCCGGTGTGCCCGCAATTGAAGGCAACGAGCGTTTCGCGTCACGAATACACTTGGATGTATTAACGAAAAACCTGTTGGTCGCGTCCTCGTGGTCGAGCGTAGTGTGCCAAGAAGATGTGTCCAGTGGTTACTCTCGCGATAGCTCAAGTCTCGAGATGTTTGCTAATTATAAACGTCTCGCCGTCGAGCCTCTTATTCCCTTTGTCAATGAAAAAAAAAAAACGGGTTTTGCTAGGTGCGACTCGGTGAGTTCGCGGCTGTCAATCATTTTTAGATGCGACACTACGTGAAACGGTATGTACGTTGCGTAATCCTGCGCTTGAATTTCACGCGTACTTACTACTTAGTCGAGGACGTAGTCAGACAAAATGTAATCAAACCGACGACAACCGCGACAACTCAAATTATCAACGATAATGGCACATAATAATAGTAAAAAAATAATTAAAACTGTATTATAACCATTGGTCGTGACGAATATCATTTATTAATTAACAAATGGATATATTTTATTATGATTATTTATTCGATGAATAAATAATGAATGGACATGTTTTATTATTATTATTTATTTGATGAATTAACGAAATTCTGTACCTTTAATGAGAAAATTTGTATTTATTAATTAACAAAGTTTTTAAAATTAATTGCATGGCAAAGTTAAATTTGTTTTTAATATTCTCATTTTAAATATTTCATTCGATAAATTATTAACGAAAGAATTATAATAATTATTATGTATATATATTATATATAATGATGCGTGTATATAATAATCATATTTAATTAATTTCTCCCAAATACTAACAAGTAACGATTGGCTGCATTTCGAAATACATTTTACGATTGACTGTCCAAAATGGGTAGCACTCTTCGTGCGACAGTACTCTCTATTTAATTCTCTCGCGACATCGGCTCACGATGATAAATGACTCGATGTCACTTGAGCGTCGTAGGTTCCCTTTCCTACGATTTATTAAAATGACAGGAAATTTTAGATCATTACAAAAACTGCAGTATCGGTTGTTAATATATTTACAGAAAATAGAAATGATAAACTTTTGGGTAGAAATTTAATTAATTTTTTAATAATGTTTGTGATTAAAAAGATAATAAAAATCTCATTAATTTTCGTTCGATATAATAATCGTAATCTGTAATATTATTATGAGAATGTTAATAATTTATTAATCAAACGCCAGCAATTACACTTAAGTGGAAACAGCACGTTATGGTCAGACGGGCTAAAATAGTCAGGCGGGGGAACACGATCGATTCTACGATAACTCGAGATC